GAACAGCAGATGAAGCCAAAGGTTTATTTTTCCAGTCTGCTTTTATCGTCTTTTGAGCAGTTAGTTTTTACTTTTCTAATAAGAAGCATTACTTTAAATTCGGCCGAAGTTTGTATGGCTGGTCGGCCAATTTGTGTATGTAGAGAAGCAACTAATTGTTGTTTGAAATTAGGAATAATTCTTATGTTTATATTGGGCCATGAAGATATTCCTAACCTCTTTAGTTTCTTGGTGTTATGCGAAGTTATGTAAATCTCTACAATATATAAAGAGTAATTCTACTTTGCCCAAGTAGAGTGACAAAATGGGTGTTTCTGTAAATCTCTTTCTGTAACCTGCAGGTTACGATCACGCTCAAGGAGGAGGATACAGAGCCAGGGAATATCTTATATAATGAGTACTGCTATGCTGGAGGACTGATTGAATATGTGAAATGGCTGAATGTTGATAAGGCGTGCTTGATGTTTGGCCTTTTCTCAGTCTGTAGGTTTTAGTTCACCTTGTGTTTTTTCTTTGGTTATAAACAATTTTCACAATCATAGCTTCAATTGAATAGAGTTTATGAAGTCCTTGTAGAATTGGTTAGAAAAGAGAGGGGTAGGTGAAAAATAATATAACATGTTGTGATTGTTAAAGATGTTTGCTTTAGATCTTTCCGATGCTATGAACCCATCCTTATGGTGGAGGAACCTTCAATCTCTTCTTATCAGGCAAGATGGATTGCTCCTTCATTTGTTCCATAGTAAAAAAAAAAAAAAAAACTTTTTTCCCGTGGTAACGAAGTTCACCAAATTTCTCAATTATTATGATCTCATGCAACTGGATGTCGTTTAGGGTTTTAACTGTCTAATTTTTTATTTCTATTTGGAAGTTTTTACTATGATTATTTAATGCTTTAATATTTACTTTCCGTTGATTGTGATTCGTCTTTGCTGAATTGTGGCTGATTGTTCTTTGGTCCAGACACCACTTCACGATGTCTTGGGATTAAGGAAGCAAGCAGATGGAGTAACAATTGACATAGCTCTTCAGTGGTAAACCTATGACCTGTATTCCTACTTTATCATCTCCTTTCCTCATCTTAATTCATAGATACATTTCTAAATTCTAAATTTTTAATATTTCTTGTAAGCACAAGAACCGAGCAGAAAATAGTATTAAGACGAACATGTTTGGTTCTGAAGTCATTTGCTTCACATGTTTAATTTAGTCATGTAGGATACCTGTAAAATCTCCAGAACAGAAAGTTAAATTCGCATATTTGACCTTTATGCAGGTCTTCAGATGCATATTCAGATACAGTGCTAGGGTATGCTAACATGTGTACTTGATCTTTAATTTAGTCATGTAGAATTTGGTATGATGAGTTTTTCTTTTGAAAATTAATTATATATGGATTTTAAGTAACATGTGTACTTGAGGAAACTTCATCTCTGCTGAAAATATGTTCTGTCAGTATACTGTACTCTGGTTGCAGCTTTTTATTTGTTATAGTTTTGCACAGTAAAAAAAGACAACCAAAAAAATGGTTGAAGCAGTCAGGCCTTGGAGAGCTGATTAAATTCCTCACTAAAGTTCTTGTAAGTGCACAATTTTCATAAATATGGGTGGTGGTGAGATTTGAACTTAGGAGCTCTAGATGCCCCGATATCATGTTGTGTTCCTTACTTTGAAACTCCTTGCTTCAGTACCGCAACTTCATTTGAGATTTTGATTTTGAATTTTCTATTATTCTTTTAGGGTGAAGAACCGAAGAAGCAAATAGGAGCAATGGCATATGTTGTGTGCAGTGCTAAAAGACAACATGTTTGACTATTTTTTCCCGATTTTCTAAAATCTTAATTCATTTACGGGGCTTTCTTAAACTAGCGAAGGAACAAAGGGCTGTAGAACTTGATAATTGTACATTCCTACAATTAGCCCAACGAATAAGCAAACTTCAATGTGGATTTGTTGTGTGAAGAGTGCGTTATTACCCATTACCCTTATTTTGAAAACACGAGGAATCTGATCAAATCCTGGCCATAGATGTGTTATAAAAGAAATAGTTTATGGGTGATAAAAACTTACTTTTTGACATGGGATAGAGATGTAAGCCTGTTTAAAATAATTTTGCTCATTTTTCTCTCTTTTTTTTTTTTGAAAAAAAATATTTAACTCTCTAGCCACCTCAAGGCTGCACCGGCTGTTGGGGCGGGGAATCCCACAGCACAGCCCAGTAGCATGCCTAGGCCATACTTAAAGCTTTCACATGCTCCTCTGTACATCGTGTATCCTTGACCTATGTGACAAATTTGGTATGATTTTAATTTAGTGATTGAAAGGGATTATCAGTCTAAACAATTTTGTTGCACTCTTGTCGGGGAGCTAATGTTTTGACTGATGTTGAGGTGGAATGTCTTTGTCATTGCCCTTTGTAACTATTTGATGTTTATATGTGGTCATGTTTGCGATTTAGTTTCATCTAAACTTTTTTATTTCGTCTTAAAACATTATGCCTCTCTATTTTATTAAGTTCTGTAACTAATTCTTTTTAATCATTTCTTATTCTCTGTTAGTAATTCTATTCTACTATGTGAAAGTTTTTAATTAGTACAATATGCTTTCACCTCACAAGTAACTATCAATTTATGCAGGCGTTTTGGACATTATTGGACATAAAATGTAGTGTCTCTTGAGGTGCTGAAGGAAAGAGGGAATCAAAATTTATGCCAAGTATGGTAATTGAATTTCCCGGAGTTTTTAATTGATTTTTGGACTTTTAAAATTGAATCTGTAATAAACTTGGTGGTATTGACTGTAATACCATGAACTGACATCCATGGTCAAAATAGTGATCTTCTAGAAGTATGGGTCATTTGACTCATTTGATATTACTGATTTTAGAATATTAGATAGTTTTGTTGCTCAACGTACTTGTATACTCTCAAGCCAATGTTTAACAAAGAGAGTCTCTGTTAAGGTCATTTGTGAATTTGTTAGCAAAAAAAATATGAATTCAGATTGTTATTTTTATGTTGTACTTCATTGTTTTTAAGCTGTGAACATTTCATCAAGAAATAGCTAATTAATTTAATGAATTCTGGAAGATAATTGCCACACAATTAAATGATCATTGATGTTCATGCTTTTGGAAAAATATGGTTACCTAATGGTGAAATTGGTTTAGGTAGATGTATTGTATGTGCAAATTTGCAATAACCTATCAACCTTATTTAGTTTCACGACACAATTTAAAGGCCATTTACCTTAGTAAATTGGGGCTTCTAGGTAAGATCGTAACTAAGGTGGCAATTTTTCTTTTTCTTTTATTGTTTACCAACTTTTATATATTTTGTGTATTGTGCTCAATTGGCCTTGGTAGGATTTGGTTTTCAGTCGTGGTTGCTGACATTTTGAACTTATC